ACCTGTGGAGACGTTCATCCAGTCGGGATGGGGGCCTGCTCCTGATGATACTGCAAGGGGTGATGGGCCGTTCGTATCTTGGCAATTAGAGGATTGGCCATTTAGATGTGGTTGGCATCAGGTGACTGTGATTCGGGTTGGTGACGTTCGTCGCCGCTAAGTTTGCTTGTGGGCCTGATCCATCATCTTATGTCCGGACGTTCGTCGGGACGGGTTCGCGCGCAAGGTGTTGGATCAGCTGTTCATCACTGCTGTGTTTGCCTGCTAGTATGATCCACGTGCCTTCAGACGTTCATCGAGTCGGTTCGCCCCATTGGGCCGGACGTTCGTCCGTATTAAGGGGAGTGAATGGGCCAACCCTTTATTTGGGCCATTAACCCAACAGGTATGTACTGATGAAAGGTTTCATGTGAGTCAAAGGAAGGCTTATAGAGCAATGAGAAAGGCAAAAAGGAAGCTTAGAGGTGAAGAGGATGACTACTTCAAGAAAATCTGGTGTTATGTGGCTGAAATTAGAAGGAGAAATCCACTGAGCACATATGTTGTTAAATTAAGTGAAAGCATAGAGGAGAATGGGCAACAGAGATTCTTAAGGACGTACATGCAGACCAGTAGTAGGGGTTATGGAACTCATCTCAAAACCATGAAAGGGGGCAGTTATTAGTGGCAGTAGGGGTAGATGCAAACAATAACATATTTCCACTAGTATATGCTATTGTTGAGGGGGAAACAAAGGAGTCTTGGTCTTGGTTTTTGAATTTCATAAGAAGAGATGTTGATATCACAGAAGATAATGAAAATTTATTCACATTCATGTCTGACAAGCAAAAAGGCTTGATTCAAGTTGTGACAAAGCTGTTTCCAAAGGTTGAACATAGGTTCTATGTAAGACATTTGCATGGGAACATGACGGTGGATGGGTTTACTGGTAAAGCAATCAAAGACACTATGGGAATGTGTTAGACCTTGTACTGTGAATTCATTTAAGCCTGCTCTTACAAAGGTAAAGGAAATAGATCAAAAAGCATTGAGTGGCTGACAGGAAGAAAATCCGAGAGATTGGTCAAAGTCTCATTTCTCTACACACTCCAAAACTCATATGCTCACAAACAACATATGTGAGTGTTTCAATGGTGTGATCTTAGATGCAAGACAAGAGGCCATTCCGGTGTGCTTTGAATCCATAAGGAAACTGCTATTAATAGAACTTTTTACCAGTAGGGAAAAGGCAAATCAATGGACCTCTAGTCTTTGCCCAAGAATAGTTAAAAAGATACAAGAAATTGAGAAGTTAGCAACATGTTTGATAGTTTATCGGTGTGGTGATAATTACTTTGAGATTACTCGGATGAGAGGTACCCAACATGTTGTAGATTTGGAGAAGAAAATGTGCACTTGCAGGGTGTGGGACCTAACTGGCATCCCTTGCAAGCATGTTGTGTGTGCTACTTGGCTGAAGTTTGAAATGGTCCAATAGATGATTATGTGCACCCATGTTACACAAGGGAAATGTACTTGAAGATATATGCTGGGTCAATAAGACCAATGGCAGGGCCAGATAGTCGCCTCTTTGTGAAAGAAGTCTACCACTTCCACCTGTGTATTCTGCCAGACCTGGAAGACTAAGGAAGCTTAGGAGGAAATCCGTTGTTGATGTAGTGCTCAGTACAGATGGAATGAAAGTGTCAAGAACACACTTTAAGATGCATTGCTCAAAGTGTAAGAAAGAAGGGCATAATGTTAGGAGGTGTCAAGATGACCCTAATAACAAAGTAAAGCTGGTAAATTACCACATAAAATACATTAAAACCTTTGGATTTATCTCTTATTTAACAGCATTCTGTATGCACACACTTATGTATAACCACATATTGGTCCTTTTTTTGTACATTCAGTTGTAACCTAGGAAAAGAAAAAGAAAATCTACACCCAAGAACACTGTGGATAACAACCAGGGTGATGGAGACGATGGAGCTTCTAGGGTTGGAGCAGCTACAGTTGATGGAGCAACTATGGTTGATGGATCAGCTGGGGTTGAAGAGTCATATGAGGACAACCTTGTGGATATCAATTTGAACATTGAAGAGGCCCCATCTATGGAAACTGAATTTCCTATAGCTGTTTTAGTGGAGGACATCTCAATGTTTAGTTAACACACTGAGCAAGGCAGTTATGAACATCAAGAACTTGAAAACAAGAGTGGGGAGGAAAGTGGAGAAGACTCTGAGGAGAGTGATGATGACAACGGGCATGAGATAGGACTGAGAAATCCTCATGGGGTCGGGATAAGCTATGGACCGCACCTTCCTTCAAAGACCTCAAAAGCTCTGAACTCAAAACCGGGCACAAGCAAACCTCAAACGTTGGAGATTAAAAATAGATCAACCTATTGCACCAGATCCAAAAGCTCTTTCAAGTCTATCTATTTTGGGAATGATGCAGACCCAATAGACATGGAGTAGTTTAAATTGGTTCCTTAGAATGAATGTTTAGTTTTGTGTAGTATGTAATTTATAACACTCAATTTGTTTTCTTGTTATGGTTCATCTATGGATTGAAGTATGTGATACTTTGTATGGTTGCTTTTTGTACTAAGGATGCCAAACTCGGCTTGATCTTTTGTTATCAGCTACTATGTTTGATTGTTTTCAGTTTGTGTTGATGTTGTTGTTAGTGTTTGTGTTGCTTTAGTTATGGATAATGAGGTTAATGACTGTATTACTTATGTATTGTTCATGTTGATGTGTTGCTTCAGCTGTGTATTAAGATTGTAACAGGTGTATTGACAGTCATAAATCATGTTTACATTAGTGTGTTGAATTTGTTTTAATGCTCACAAATAACAACACCCACACTGTAAACACATGTTAAACAATCAACACCTTATCAACACATGCACATATGTTTCATCCCTTGCAAAAATGTTTGAAGTACACTGACTAGGCCTCATTCATACATCATAAAAGTTACATAAAAACCACACCATATAGTCCACACAAGATCACCAACTATTTCTATATGCGTACATGGATACAAACACAACAACTGTTACAATGGTCACAATCTGAATGGTTTTAGGAGATTTTGTCTTCATTTTGTATTTCTTCTTTTCATGCACCTATAACTCTTCCACCTTCATGTGCAATGTCTGCATTTGATTTTCATAGTCATTCAATTTTTTTAGCAACCCAGCAATAATTTTTTGTGTCCTCTTACACATTGGAGGGTCAAACCAGTCCATGAAACCACACCCCAGACACCTCTGCAAATAAATTATGTTGATGAATCATGTGCTAAAATAACCAAAAACATGCAATGTTCAAAGAAGTTCATTACCTCACTTCCAACTCATTTCCAAAACCTTCACCCACAGTTATCATGTTTCCATGTCGTCAAAAGCTTCGATTCTTGGCCACATTTACAGTGCTTAACCGGAATTCATTCCCATATTCATACTGCCCCATTGATTTTGAAGAAGTAGAATGACTGGTAGAAGATGATGAAATTGGTTCAATGTACGGAGTATTTATGAAGGGTAGTTATGAAGGAGATGGCGGTAGGCAGGATGAATTTAAAACGGACAAGAAATTACTAAATTAACCTTCACTTAATAGTACAACTTTTAAACCCATTGGAGTTCTCGCCGAAAGGGTGAGGAATGGTAACCGGAGATAACGATGGGACAAGATGTGGCGAAGTTCGAAGTTAGGTACAAAATGTGGAAGTGACATAATAGTCATGGGACCAAAAGTAGAATTTTTTCACCACAATACTTATGTCATATAATCATATTTTTGTAACAACTTTTATTTTAATCATAAATATATAAATTTTTCCCAACATTAATAGCGTAACTTTTCCTTTAGACGATCAAAAGGGGGAAATAATGAATGTGTGAGTGGTCTTGAGATATATGAGAAGGTATACATACAAAAAAAAAAGTCAATTCCCTAAATAGGACTAAAAAGTTGCAAAATTGCACAAATAGGACTACATTTTTTAAATTCCCTTAATAGGACTATTTATGTGTGTTTGGACAAATATACCCTTGTAACTTGTGAAATGTTTTAATTAATAATAAAATCATAAAAAATAATAAAAATCGAAAAAAATACTAAAAAAAAATTAATAAAAGTATTTTTCAAAAAAAATTAAAAAAAAAATAAAAAAAATCGTAAAATTAAAAAAAAAATTACCACCCCTGCCACCCCCAACACCACCATCTCCCATCACCGGAGAAAAATATGCCAACATTTTAAATAATGCCATAATAAAGGCATATTCAATGAAAATGTTGACATATTGAAGAGTAATTATGCCATCTTTTTGGCATTTTCAGAAAAAGATGGCATTTTTTTTACCAAAAGTGGAAGAAATTTCACCAATCGGAGGTGGTGGTGGTGGGAGGCGGCGGGAGGCGGTGGGAAAGGTATCCATATTTTTTTCATTTTTTTATGGGTTTTTAATATATTTTATTATTTTAAAAAAAAATTAAAAAAAAAATAAAATTAAATTTTTCATTTTATAAATGTTTTATGAATTTTTTATAATTTTTTTACGTTTTTTAAATATTTTTTACATTTTTTTATGATTTTATTATGAATTAAAGCATTTCATTATGAATTAATACTCTTAGGGGTATTTAGGATAGAAAATCAATGTTTAGTCCTATTTAGGGAATTTAAAAAGTAGTAGTCCTATTTGTACTTTTTAGGAACTCATTAGTCCTATTTAGGACAATTTCTGGAAAAAAAAACTCATTAAATTTGTGGGCCGTTTCTCTAGGTTCAAATTTTCCGTAATGGCGTAATGGTCTCGACTATGAAGGAATTGAATGGCGTAAGGAAAGAAATTACAAAAAAAGATATGTGTACACCTCTGAACCCACACATAAATGTTTAAAACATACCACAAGTTTTACAAAAATGCTATCTTTACACACTTTATCTACACTACATACATCTCTCTTTAGATAATCCAATTATATAGATTTTATCTTACGGGCAATCAAAGGTTAATAATATATATTAACTCTTATTATGTGATCAATGAATTTTGTTTTTTACATTACTATTAAACAAACAAAATATACCCATGAATCCATGATGCACAAACATAAATCATAGCAAAATATCGTAATGATGACATGCCAAAAAACATTCCTTGACGATAAACTAAACAAATGGTCGTTAAAAGAACTTCAATTCTCATGTTGAGATATACGCCCCAGAAGTAGAGAGATGTATACCAAACAGGCAAACATACAGGTAATATTCACAGGCAAACAGTTTCATCAACAAAGAGTAACACATGCTCGGCATTCTCATTTGTAACAATAGAAAATATCAAGCGCAGGTGACAGCACTCCAAACTGTACCGGACGGCCACACCAATGACTCAATCTCATTTATGTCCGCTATAGTTGCTCAAAGAGGTCTGTTACCTAGGTTTTGATGATGAGGATTTGGTCTTCGCAAAGTCTACCAGATCCTTAAAAAGCACATCCTCCGCTTTCACTTGTTTGCTTGAGTTTGGTGGATAAATTGAGAGATTCTTGGTCTGCCCAGCCAAGCTGTCATAAGAGGTTGATCTCATAGTACTGGAATCAGATGTACTGCCAGTAGATAGATGACGCTCGAAGTAATGTTGCCTCTGGTTATATCTGGCAGGCGGTGGTGGGAGGTTTGTGGCAAGGGGGGCACCACCCCACAGAGCCGAAGGTGAGTGATCCGCATCAGATTTGGGGTTTGGGTCTATATCGCTGTGATCAGACTTCGCACCGAATAAAGATGCTGTGGGGTTGAGGAATTCATCCGCAGTGGGATTGATGAAATCATCAGAAAGGGGCAAAGAAGAGAGCTTTGGACTTGATATGGGAGGTGGTGGTGGGATTGAATCATTTGGCAGACCAGAAGACACAGCAGAAGTAGTTACAGACTGATATGTGTCGCCACTTAGGTAATCAATCATTCCAGCAGCATCAGTAGAAGAAATAGGGTTCCATGATGAAGGTGGTGGGGGGAGAATTGTACTCATCCGGACCGGTTCATTTTTCACATCAATGGGCTTCCGTTCATGCCCTTGCGACGTATCCCTGGAGGACCTGAGATGATACAAAAGATCATAAGCAGGACTAAAACATAGCACTTCTTCACATCAGACATCATTGCTTTTCCTGAAAAATGGGCTCGTTCACTATCAAAAACAGATTATTAACTGGACTATCAACTGGACTTGAGTTATTTTTAGCACAAACCAAAAAGAAAGATACTACTACATCTGAATATCATTCATGTTTTACTCATATTTGTGTTCATTTCTTAAAACGGAATTACAACAAAGCAATAGCTTATGAAACTTTCTTGAAGGGGCGGGAATAGAAAAACATATCATTCACACGCTCAAAGGGAAAAAAGTATTCAGTTCCTCTTAATTAAAGATTTTCTCGCTGTGAAGAAGGAAGTCAGCACATGAAAGGGGGTGTAAAGGAAAGAAAATATCTGCACATGCCCTTGAGATTGCGATATAGAGATTAGAGACCATAGAATGGAAACCTGGTGTACAAAGTGAAAACAAAAAAGGATCTAGGAAATTAAAATTTCCAAATATACAGTAGCAATACAGAGTTACAAATTATTCAGATCAGTGTTATAGAAGGGGCTAGAAAACTGTTATCTATTGAAAATATTGATTACACTTTAATTAAAAAGAGAGGAAAGACCAAAATATTGTGAATCAAAGATATTAGTCGACAGCTTGGCCCCAACAAAACATGAACATAGCATCAGATGTTCCACATACATTCTAGTATACATCTATTAATGACTCAGTAGCATGGAAACATGAAACACGAGATTTAAAAAAATAGGATATGAATGTGGGGGGAACACATAAATTTTAAAAAATATACTCCCTCCGTCCCATTTATATTGTCCCAGTTCCTATTTACTTGGTCAACACAAATCACTCTCAATTTCTTACTTTATATATCAAAAATTTATCAAATTTGATTCAGGTTTTTGCGACTTTGTAAAGCTTTAAATGTAGTTTTTGAATATGTAATTTTTTTTCCTAAAAATAATTTGAGTGCGAACAATCCTTGTTTGCTTTGTCGTCAGTCAAACATCGTAAACCGTAAAGAGACAATATAAATGGGACAGAGGTAGTAATACGATATATTGAAAAAAAATTCACACACAAATATATATGATTTTTCACTGATTCAGTTATCTATTCCAATTTGATTTTCAAGAGAACCCATTCACATTTTGAACAGTACTCTCATACTATTTTGAGTATTTTCCTCAATAAGATAGGGGTATAGACCGCCAGTAGTACTTACAGATATATTTCCAATTATGCCCCTGAATCACTGGCTGATTAATTAGTCTGGATTTCACAAAATAGCACGCGACGAGCATGAAATAATGAACTCAATTTACCACTAAAATCCTCATAGCAAAGTTTTGCCAGGTAATCCTTATCCAGTCTTTAATATATGGTATTTTGCATTTTTTAATTTTTATGGTTAAACTTTAGTTCTTGATCGCCATAGAACTGTAATTAACATGTGCTAGGATACCTGCGGGCTAATTGAACAAAATCATCCTCTGACTCTTCATCCTCATCATTCATATTCATGAGGGGTGCAACAAGGGTTTCTTTTGTTGCTAACGTGACAGAGGGGGTTCCCTTTGCAATATCATCATGAAGACGAAGAACCCGTTGTATATTGTCATTAAGTGCCAACCCTTTACAAAGAAGCTCCTCATCTCTACATTAAATGGATGACCACATTAAAAGGCAACAAAATACATCAAGTTTATCAAATAATGATAACAAAGCTGATGGCATCCTTACAGAGTGCTATTCACGAGAAACATGACTCGCTTTTGGAAAGAATGACACTGTTCCACAAGGTCTATAATCACCTCTTCTTTTACACTCTGTTTGAAATATATACAGTAAATTGACATAAAATATAAGTGGTCAAAGTGATATAAAACATAAAACATTCCATCTTTTAGTTATTCTCAAGCATCTAAGTATTAAAGCACTTGAAAGTCCCATAATTTAGAATACAACAAAGGATCTTGATCTTGTCAATCTTAATCTGAAATTTAAGTAAAACAACAACAACATTATCTCAGTGCCGCAAAGGCTCCCACCTACGGTGGGGTAAGGGGATCTCGGATGTACGCAGACTTACTCTTGTACTTAATCTGAAATTTAAGTCGTCATCATCATCATTACCCCAGTGCCGCAAAGGCTCCCACCTATGGTGGGGTAGGGGGGGTCGGATGTACGCAGTCTTACCCCTATACTAAAGCACAAAGAGACTGTTTCCAGATGATTCATAGTGAACATCGCGTCCAAAATTGCATGGACTGACCGCTTTAGTGAGCCATTTTGCTTTATTCCATCATATTCTTAAGTAACTTATGAAAATTGTGATAAAAAACCTAGTCTTTTATAGGAGCTATTAAACAAAAAAGATTGAAGAAGTCATTTTGATATAAAAAAAAAGGCATTTTCATAAGAATGGTACTGCCCAAAGAACAAAAATAAACTCTCAAGTTCTTGATATACAATGCAAAGGATGAACTTTACAGCTTATACCCTCGAAAAAGGATGAAACAAATAAAGGGAAAAAAGTTAAAAAAAAAAACTAATAGTCTAACCTGAGGGTTCTTAGGATCCAAGGCGCTAAGCATCTCCGTCAAAACATCTACTACACCCTGAGCATTTTGAATCTCCAGCAGACTAGAGATTTTAAAAAAGCATAATTTCTCAATAAACAGAGCTAATGAAGATGAAAATAGTCCAAGAATATTCAAATGTAGTGAGGAAAAACTTGTAGCTATAAAAAATACAAAGTATGTTTCTTTTGTTCTCCTTTTTTAATTTCAAACAAGGAAAAGTGTTTTAGTGAACCATAAGCTCAGTAAAGACAATATGGAAGACTAAGATATTAAGAAAAGAAAATAAGATAAGTTACCATGTTATATATGAGATAAAAACCTATGTTACAAGAACCGGACCGGGAAGCGACCCGGACGAATGGCCGGGTCACGGGTCAGCCCGGACCCGGCGGGTCAACCCGGTTAACGCCGGGAAAACCCGGTCAACATTGTTAATTTAGTAAATTCATAAATATATAACAATATGTAAAATTAAAAATAAAGATAATTATTGTACACAATAATCAAGTAATTATAATTCTAATAAGCATTGAAAACACACCAATAATATTCTAAATTATAGTTTTAAGTCTAATTATATCAATAATGTTATTTGATAGTTTGATACGTAGTATGGTTTTACATAATTATGTATCTAGTATGAATATTCAAGAATATTGTACATTTTTAAAAAATAATATGAACATAACTATACTTATTACAAAATCTTAAAAATAACATACAAGTATTTTTTACTTGTATTTGATAGTTTATGTAGACAATATGTTAGTGAAATAGAAACAATATGTAATCAGACAACAACAATCATATAAATTATTACTACGTATATTAAGTGCTTATAGATTAAATAATACAGAGTGCGAATGTAATAAGTACCCCTAAAGAGCAATTGATCTCAACTAGTACATTTAGCACAGTGGACGGCCGGCTGAATATCTTCCTAGAAGACGCGGGATCGAATCCCTTAGGTGTAAAATTTTGCATTTCAGCCGGTTCTTGGTGAAAGAGCCGGTTTTCACTGGTTCGGGCGGTCCCAGGTCCACCCCGGGTCAGAACAGGTCAGCGGGAATTTCCGGGTTTACCCACATTTACGGGTCTGTGTGTAACCGGACCGGGTAAGGTGCCGGGTCGCCGGTTTCCGGATCGACCCGCCCGGTCCGGTCCGGTTCTTGTATCATAGATAAAAACTAAGACTTCCCAAGGCAGTATTGTGTATTTGTCTATAGGGCTGGCAACATCACCCGCACCTGCGGATACCCGGTCAATCCGAACCGAAAATATGGGCGAAAACCCGAAAAAGTATGGATGAAAAATGGATGACGGGTGGATTGAAAGACGGGTTGGATCGGGTGTGGATGAACACTCATCCAATCCATCACTCGACCCGTCACCCGCTCCAACCACCCACCCGCTAACCCGCATATAAAAATAAAAATATATTATATATTTATATCATATACTTCCTCCGTTCTTAAATAAATGCAACGGTCAACATTTCACACTTGCCAAGACACAACTTTGACCATTAATATAAATGATTTTGTATAAGTAAAAAAATTAAAAAAATTAGATTATGAAAATTTACAATGAGACAAGTTTAACAATATTTTTTTCATAAAATAATATTATTACATTAATAAATAAAACGTAGTCAAAGTAGAACATGTGAATAGTGTAAAAGTCAAAGTGTTGCATTTATTTAAGAACGGAGGTAGTATATAATATCTATTTAATAATATACTCTGTATATAATAATTAATATTAATATATTAAGAGATATTTATTTGATAATGGAGAAGACACATATCTATGAATTGGTGAAATAAAGACAATTGAAAATTTTAAAGAAGTGGCAGTTGAATTGCAAAAATAGTTTTGTGCCAATGCAGAAATGTAGAATTTGACAGCTTGAAGAAGATTTATGTCTATTTTGTTTGATAATCAGTTCTTTCTTTATCTGCAGTGAATTAATGATTGTAATATACTTAATTGCTCAAGTTTTTGTTGTTATTATTCAAGTTAGACCTTTTATATTCACCCGTTACTCACCCGATCCACCCGATAACCCGCTCATGATGGATGGGTTGGATGTGAATGTAATTTTTGATGGATGATGGACGGGTGGGTGGAATTTAAAAAATTAACGGGTGGACGTGGATGAGCCTTCACCCGTTATAAATCCAACCCGTTGCCATTAGACAAATTGTCTAATGCAGATAGCTATGGTACCAAGACTATTTTCCAAACATTATTACTAAAGTTAATACTACTGAGCAATATTGTGAATTTCAAATTATGATGCGTGGTATGCTATCAAATCTAATAATTCCCCAACACAGGCACACACAATAAAAGAACTACCTAAGTCCAGATTGATCAGATTCAAGAGAGAGCTGGACTGCAGTTTCTTCATATGTTGAAGCTTCAGGGTGAACAATTGGATGGGTCTGCGGTGGAGTGAATAACGGTACACTGTTTTCTTCACGAGGCGGAAATTCCACACCAAAAGCCTGCCTCATTAAAAAAATCACATGAATTGGGAAAATGTGATTAGACTTGAATGTGACTTGATCATAGTAGTTACTAGTTACCAGACGGTGGCATAAGAGAAGAAAATCCACAAAATAAACAGTTCCGAACTGTGAAACATATTGTATCTCTGTACAACTCATATAAAGATGCCTGATTGACGGAACATCTTTAGGTTTTTGGATACATTAGAGAATAAAGAAGGTTGGAAACATGAGGCATCCCCTAAATTGGTCAAACCATTTGAGCCACGGATCACTAGCACATTACTCCATCCCTGGTCACAGTATAAAGACGCTGCTATGTCGATATGACAGCTTGCCGCACCAGCAAAAGTTAAAATAATGTACGCTTTTCCCATCAAATGTTTAATGAATCAAAATGATTGATTGATTATTTGATTCTGTTAAAGCCTGCAATGATCTCCATTGCATTTGAAAACTCGCTATGGGTAAAGTATGCAGCTACCACAACTATCAGCTTGGAACTAACATTTGCATATAACTAAAGTTTTACACATTGACACACTATGAAGAGTAGTGAATAATAAAAGATTGCTAATTGGATGCATGGAAAAACAGTAGCCCTGGTATCTAATAAAATGTTTGAGATAATCATGGATATAGGGTTGCTTCAATCATATCTTTAGATTTAGATATCTTCAACTATGATTAGTCAATTTTAGTCAAAAGCTCATTTTGTAAACTTCAATAATATTTGAATAATATTTTTTTATGCAAATAAATAGCAGTTGCTACAACAATATGAGCGCTAATCAAATCGTGACTCACCAAACCCTAGAGCTTTAAGCGCGTTCTTTCGGGAAGGGGTTATAGGGAAATCCTATTTTTTGCAGCTTTCTCCAAACCCCCGGGGGAAACATGAAAAAAAGGCTCGTTACTTTATTGGAAAGTGAATGGGTAAAGCCTCAATAATGTAAACTATACAAGTTCACAATAAATAAAGTTTATTCAATTTTTCATTCTTATTTAGAATTTGATATCTTTTATTTGAAATTCTAATTAGAATCTAATATTAATAATCTTTTTTTTTATTACTTTGAGTAAACCAAAAAGAAATTTATTCACGTGAATGAATTAGTTGGTACTAGAAATGTTAGAAAAGGTGAACGAAAAGAGTAATAAGAAGTGAAAAGGACAGAGACACTTCCCAACCAGAAAGCAAAGTTCCCACTGATGGTATACTTAGTGTGAGCGAGCTCTAAGATCACATCTTTGGAATAATAGCACAAGATTTTACTATGCAAGCTCCATTATATACCCATCACCAATATATCGCAGGATTCCTTATGACGGGAGCTTTTGTTCATTGAGATATTATTTTAATTAGAGATTATAATCCCGTGCTTTAGTCTCTGTTTGTGGTGACATATATTCCTCCTTGTAACTCATAAATTAATAATTCTGACAACAAAAGAGGTGATAAGCTTCAGCGTCAAGAGGGAAGCAGCCCGGATCACCAGCCAAGGCCCCTAAATGACCGCTAAGCTCCTCTCCTCCCTTATGTGCATAATGAAAATTGAGAATGCATGAAATAAAAAAAAAACTAACAAATATAAATATTGTGATTATGGACTGAGTAGAGCTTGTGAAACCCCTTATTGAATTTACAATTTAGGCACATCAAACCAATCCCCTTCCAGAGATGAGGCTAAGGTAGTTGGAAAGGAAGTAAGAAAAATAGGAATATATATAGTTTTTGAAAGAAGGAATGGAGTTCCTTCATCCATATCTATCCCTTGATACTGGCAATTTAATTTTTATTTTTGGGGATCAATAGGTTATTGGGCAGTGAAAATTGTAACAGGTGTACCCAAAGCTATTACTGTAATATTCCGTGCCATGGCGCTGTAAGTGTGTCCCACAAAGGCATTCATAACATAAGGATGTTGCACCACGAGAATGCATCATGAACTTTTGCTTCTGTTGTTTTCACAGTCACCATCATTGCCTCCATCACCACTGCCAACACCACCACAAACAATATCATCATCATTGCTGCCTCTTCCATTGAAGCACAAAATACAGCAGCTTCCAGCGGTGCTGACGTGATAGAACGCTCCAATCTACAGAATTTTTCAGAGCTGGGGATGAAGGAGACATATTTATGTAACCATCGAAAGCTTCGTATAACAAAATAGAGAGACAAAATACAAAGGCAGTTAAAGAATGCCAACTCTCCAAGTCCCAAGAAGAATATCGCTAAACAACTCCCAATTCAATTGGTGGATTTCATCAAACGCCTTCTCCTCAAAAGACTGGAGTTCGTTTGTCAAATCCCAGTTTTTCAAAAGACTGAGATCTAAATGCATCCCCTCAATTATTATGTGTTTTCCCTCTTTCTTTGCCTTGTTTAAATCACCAACCAGACCTCTCCTAATCACTCTACATTCTCTGCACAATTCAATGATTAGTTCATCAGAGAAGTTGAAATCATGTGCCCCTATAGGAGTTGATGACACAGGTGCTTCAGTTGATGTCCACAGTAATTGGTACATCATTTCAGACTCTAAGACATTTGGCAAGTTTGTCTTCTGTACAAGCTGGGAAGAATATGGATTTTCCAACACAAACAGTACCACATACCAGAATAAGCTCGAACCTATTGGTTTCCAAGTCGGACTTAACGAACTCATACTTGGAGCAAGTGTTACTCCTCGCGTTCATCGCCATCCTCTGTGTGGAATCAAGCAATTGCACCAGCTTCAGGTCCAACGGCAACTGTAGATCGCTCCTCGCGTTCATCGCCATCCTCTTTGAGCGCATCTTAAGAGGAAGGTTGCCGCCGACTCATGTACTCCTGGCGGAACGTTGAAGCCTATGAACAGTGAGAAGTTGCTCGCGACAGAACATGTGAACAGGGAGGATTCGCTAGCGCTCACACCTGTGGATGGAAATATTCTTCTTGCGATGAAGTTGGCTTACTGGGAGAAGAGGTTTGCGGAAATATTCCCAGTTTTAAATGCATCCCCTCAGAGCAGTTTACGTAACAATGGAAAGCTTCGTATAACAAAATAGAGAGACAAATTACAAAGGCAGTTAAAGAGTGCCAATTCTCCAAGTCCCAAGCCTATAGAATAATCCAAGCCTACCTCTTGTTCCTCCCTTCCCTTCTATTTATACTACTCTTATTGTTATTATTATTCTCAGCACTAATCTGCCCAGTTCATATCATGATGCCACCTCCATCATCTATTCCGCTGCTAATACACTTTGCCATGCAAGGGGAGGATGAAATGCCGCCAGATCACTTGCAGTTAAGGACTTAAGGTTGTAAAAGAGTGGTCATAGAGACTTTGATAAATCCCATAGTTCAGCAACAGCATTTTTTCATTCATTTTCATTTACCCCAGTGCCGCAAAGGCTCCGCCCTACGGTGGGGTAAGATGTACGCAGTCTTACTCCTGTACTAAAGCACAGAGAGACTGTTTCCGGATGACCCATAGTGAAAATCGCGTCCAAAATTGCATGAACTGACTGCTGCTTCATAACAAAGAAGCGCAGACAGTTTAGTGAGCCATTTTGCTTTATTCCATCATATTCTCAAGCCAAAAAATAATGAATCTTTGGCTCCATTGCAAATGATGGAAAAATAGTTCAGCAATAGCACCACTGTAAAATCAAATTGTTCATTGGCATAGCTGAATTTGCTCAGGCATATTCTGCTATGCAATCAGCGGGTTGTAAAATTTCTAATAATTATGGTTGACCGTCGGAAGTGTAAGCACAAATGCAAACGCTTACTCCTTGCAAGCTTGAGAGAAAACTTGCTGTCCGGGAAGGGTGTGATGATACAGGCTCAAGACACGCTAGGAATACAAGTACTATTTAGTATTAACTACAAAATTAGTAGTAGTTTCCTGTTATTAATATTTCTTAAATCGGGTAAAACACACCACAAAAGGATCATCAATCAAGAGGTGAAATTTACTTCAACTCAGGGTTTGAAATTGTGGACCACAATGCCCGATGCTGGCAATGTGCCCGCAATATTGCAGGCGGAACCGCAATTACATCGGGACGCAGTGGCGGTGAGATTTCAATTCACGGGAAAAACTACAACGGGACTGTATTTGGCCGCATCAGGCCGCTTGAGACCGCAACATTAATTTATTTATTTCTAATTCCGTTCGAACATAAAATTAGCTTACACCACATCGGTGGCCGCAATATTCACCATGACTGCCGTAACCACAGTGACCCCAACCGCGATCGCAACCGCAATTATAAACCATCGTATATATTAAGTATAGTTTCAGTAATCATCTGTTGTTAGCCAGAACATCCCTAAAGAGCTACTCAAACCATGCCGCCAAACAAATAAACAAACCATATTTGAACTAGGCTTTGACGCAGTGTACCATGTTAAATTAGGTCTAGCTCACCCCAAAAAGAACCCTACAGAGATGAGGCTTATTTCACACTTATATACTTCCTCCGTTCTTTAATAGTTGCAACACTTTGAATTTTACACTATCCACACACCTTACTTTGACCATGACTTTCTACTAATATATACTACCTCCGTCCCATTAGAAGGTTCTCGTCCACTATTCACATGGTCAACTTAAATCATTTTTAATCTTTTGCATTATATATCAAATTTACATTTTTTTATCAGGCTTTGTAGCGGTTTTAATGTAGTTTCTAAATATGTAATTTTATTTACTAAAAATAATCAGAGTGTGAACAGGGATTAAATTGCTTTATCGTCAGTCAAGCATCGTAAACCGTATGGGAAGCTTCTATCAGGACGGAGGGAGTATAATCAAATTATTAAGTATGAAATATTATTAAATTTCTCGTAATGTGAACTTCCAAAATATTAAATTTTTATAATGTTATTAATATGTAATTAAATATAATTACGGTCAAAGTTGTGTGTTGGAAAACGCGAAAGTCAAATTGTTGCAATTAAAAAGAACGGAGGTAGTATTATGTATAAATTTGTTGCAATTAAAAAGAACGGAGGTAGTATTATGTATAAATTTGGTAATCATTCAATCTTAAACAATTTACAGATAACAGTCTTTTATATTACTATTGTAATAGATCGACCTATTACTTGGAATAAATAAGGACTCCATTAGTCCACCGACTTGCTCATTATGCGGTTATGCCTATTCTGCGTAGCAGAAGGTTTAACTTCATTAACAAAACTATACAACTACAAGCTGGATTACATAAAGCTTGAAAGGATGTCTAGGGTTTCACCATGACTGCCGTAACCACAGTGACCCCAACCGCGATCGCAACCGCAATTATAAACCATCGTATATATTAAGTATAGTTTCAGTAATCATCTGTTGTTAGCCAGAACATCCCTAAAGAGCTACTCAGACCATGCCGCCAAACAAATAAACAAACCATATTTGAACTAGGCTTTGACGCAGTGTACCATGTTAAATTAGGTCTAGCTCACCCCAAAAAGAACCCTACAGAGATGAGGCTTATTTCACACTTATATACTTCCTCCGTTCTTTAATAGTTGCAACACTTTGAATTTTACACTATCCACACACCTTACTTTGACCATGACTTTCTACTAATATATACTACCTCCGTCCCATTAGAAGGTTCTCGTCCACTATTCACATGGTCAACTTAAATCATTTTTAATCTTTTGCATTATATATCAAATTTACATTTTTTTATCAGGCTTTGTAGCGGTTTTAATGTAGTTTCTAAATATGTAATTTTATTTAATAAAAATAATCAGAGTGTGAACAGGGATTAAATTGCTTTATCGTCAGTCAAGCATCGTAAACCGTATGGGAAGCTTCTATCGGGACGGAGGGAGTATAATCAAATTATTAAGTATGAAATATTATTAAATTTCTCGTAATGTGAACTTCCAAAATATTAAATTTTTATAATGTTATTAATATGTAATTAAATATAATTACGGTCAAAGTTGTGTGTTGGAAAACGCGAAAGTCAAATTGTTGCAATTAAAAAGAACGGAGGTAGTATTATGTATAAATTTGTTGCAATTAAAAAGAACGGAGGTAGTATTATGTATAAATTTGGTAATCATTCAATCTTAAACAATTTACGGATAACAGTCTTTTATATTACTATTGTAATAGATCGACCTATTACTTGGAATAAATAAGGACTCCATTAGTCCACCGACTTGCTCATTATGCGGTTATGCCTATTCTGCGTAGCAGAAGGTTTAACTTCATTAACAAAACTATACAACTACAAGCTGGATTACATAAAGCTTGAAAGGATGTCTAGGGTTTCTCACAAGAAAATAGTCCTTCTCTTGTAGCCTTTTTCATGGACAGGTCTATCACATACCAAGCGCTTCTTTGCCAAATTATACAAGTAGGGACATTTTTATCATACAAGTTATTCCTTTCTTAGTCTAAAGTAAACCATACAATGGAAATATGGAATACTTTTTGCCAACAATGTTACTCCCACCATTAAAGCTACATAATATAGAATTCTTCTTTATTCTCATATTTCATCTCTCAGATAAATTAAATTACATTCCTTTTGATGGACTGAATGAGCCCTAAATTTGAAAGTTGACTTACTTGTACAAACAGAGTAAAAGAATATTATATTAAAAACACTAGTATCATACTATCCTTTAAGATCATATCAAATGCTTGTGATATAGTATCAAGGAATATCTCTAAAGAGTATTTCAAATATATCTAGTTACAGACCTAAATTTATAAAGAGTAAAAGAAAAAATGACCTTTAGCTCATTAAAGGCAACATGATATTGTGGAAACTTTCCGTGGGCCCCCCCTAAAGCTTCTTGCCATGTATCAATCAGGATTAAAATCTTTTCCCTCACATTCAAATCTGGCTGAAATATGAGAAAGAGTGTCATCAAATAAAAAAGCAAAATAAAAGAATGCATGTAGACAAATTGACTAATGGAACCTTTTTCTTGACAACTTTAACCATGTCATGCAAAATGTCCCGCTCAACAATCTGCTGAAATACATTTTCTCCGCAGTTTTTGCTTAGAGTCTCAAGTACCTGCACAAAGGTTGCACAAATGGCAGTTATTCCAAAGATGCAATTCTTTTGGGATAAGAGTCGAATGAGTCCTTTTACTTTTTGAAATCCAACACATAACTCTTAGTGAAATAAGTTTCACACAAACCTGCAAACTCATTAAAAACGATCAATTGGGCAATTTGAACTGAATGCAGCCTGTCGCATTATAGCAGGTTATATTATTATAAGACGCTTTTTTCAATTAGACGCCAACAACAACAACAACAACATCCAAGCCTTAGTCCCAAAAGATATTGGGGTCGGCTAGCATGAATTGATACATGATATCACCACCAAAAGGAAAAGAAAGAAAATAGAGATAAAAAGATAAGCTGTTATGAAAAAGATAATATAAAAAGAAATGAATATACCTAAATATGATAAAATATAAAGGATAAAAACAATGTTTATATATATAAGGATAAAAGGATAAAAAAAATGAGGGAAAAGATAATACGAGATCACTCCTCCACACGAATACCCGCCCTCCACTTTGCTCTCTCCAAAGCCAAACCCTCATCTAACCCAAGAAAAAGCATATCACTTTGGACTCCCCTAACCCACGACTGTTTGGGCCTTCCTCTCCCTCTCTTCCCAGCCTCTTCTCCACACATCTTAACTCGTCTGACAGTTGCATCACTCGGTCTTCTACGCACATGACCAAACCACCGTAAGCGCGACTCCCGCATCTTGTCTTCAATAGGTGCTACTCCTACCCTTTGTCTGATTGTCTCATTCCTCATCCTCACGTGGTCCTTCCTAGTATGCCCACACATCCAACGCAGCATGTGCATCTCCGCCACACTCATCTTTTAAATGTGACATTGTTTCACCGTCCAATACTCTACACCATACAGTAATGCAAGCCTAATTGTTGTCCTATAAAACTTACCATGTCTAGTCGGCATACCTCTATTGCATAGAAATCCTGACGCAATCTTCCACTTCATCCACCATGTTCTGATTCTATGGGATACATCTCCATCTAACTCACCGTCCTTCGGAATTATGGAGCCCAAGTAACGGAGCATATCGTTGACCGGTATCTCCTTACCATCTAGAGTAATTCCGCTATTACCACTGTTTCTGCCTCCACCAAACTTGCACTCCATGTACTCTGTCTTGCTCTAACTTAGTCTGAAACCCTTGTTCTCCAAAGTTTCTCGTCATACTTCCAACTTTGCTTTAAGACCTGATTGCGTCTCATCAATCAATACAATATCGTCGGCAAACATCATGCACCACGGTATTTCGTCTTGAATTGACTTCGTAAGTTCATCCATGACCATGGCAAATAGGAAAGGGCTCAGAGCCGATCTTTGGTGCACTCCGATAGTAATAGGGAACTCCGCAATCCTTCCCACACTAGTTCGGACACTTGTAGTACAATCCTCATACATATCCATGATGATCTCATACATATCCATGATGATGCTAATATACTTGCGTGATATGCCTTTTCTAGTAAAGGCCCACCAAAGAACTTTCTCGAGGTACCCTATCATAAGCCTTTTTCTAATCTAGTCTTCACACTCTTCCGGTTCATTTTCTCTTTCTCCAAATCATAGTATTATCTCTTCACTTTCTTTATTAACTTCTGCAATCTTTCTTTGATATTGATTGTGTATCACTTATTATAAAATATCTATGAATTATTTATCCATCTAATCTAAATTATCCATTATTTGTTTTTGTATGATGGTAAGCTATAGATGTGCATCATCATCATCATCATTCTCCGGTGCAGCAAAGTCTCCCACCTATGGTGGGGTAAGGGGGTGTGAGCCGCTACACCTCACCCACCTCTTACGAGGTGTGTCTTGAACTTTATACTGCTTCTTTATATAAATCTCACTGAGTCCAGAAAGAGAATCCAGAGGCTGACGAAGTCGATTTCAGAACCACTACGAAGTAAGACCTCCCCTCTTTGACTCTCATCAGACCATCAAGAGTATTTATGTAAGTGGTTCTTCAGTTCTTCTTCTTCTTCCCCTCATTTTAATTTTTCTCCATAACTTCACAGATGCGCTTCATGAGGACGAGAATGATGACAGTACAATTTCTAGACCTCCAATAAACAATTATGAGTTAAGAATATTATTGGTCATATGCTTTCATTGCTTTGAAGTTTGTACTTGTTTAGGCTTTGAGTTTGTGACTATTATATGTTCAGATTTTTGTATTGGATTTGATTTGAATTCCTCACAATCAGTGCTATAATAGGAAGCGTATCTCTTTATTCCACCGTCAGCTAAAGTGACACTAGAAGTAGGTAAATGTGAATGAAATGAAGAGAATAAACTAGGATTACCGGTCAATGACCCATTCGAGGATGATGAAACGAGACATGTGCTTGAAATACCTGAATTAGCGACTACCGAGATAGGGACAGAGGAATGCTTTAGAGATTCTTGGTAACAAACAAATTTGGCATACTCGTCTGCAGAAATAGCAATTGATCCATCAAATGAACTCGTAGCGGAAGCAACATGAGCAAGCTGATTTCCTTGATTTTTGAACATCAACTTTCTACATTCTTTGAGCAAGTGCCCGGGCTTCTTGCAGTAATGGCATATTACTCCTCTGCCAAATGGACCCGTAAAAGACATTTTTTTTATTTCCTTTTTTTTTATTTTTTTATTTTGATTTTTTTTTTTTTTTTTGAGAATAAATAAATAAATACAGCTAATTAAGACTTACCAGCCAATGATAGTGGCGACTCCAAAAATATAACGTAGCCCCTTTCTAATTCAAGCCAGCTCACCTAGTCTCAAATCCCAACCTTTCTCAACAGTCTGGTACGAATAAATAGACAAAATATATACGCAACTCCCTTCCAAAAGTATCTGCGTCGCCAACCTCGAGAAGATCGTGGATCCAAAAGCTCGCAGATCGGAAAAATGGATTTGCCTGGCAGAGAATACTCAGGCGACCTAGATGGCGATTTCCGGTTAGAAATCCGGTCAGCTATGAAGCTTCACTCGCCGGCGCGTGCGACAGCCGCGAAAGTCTTCGACGACGCGTGTGACTGACGCGCGAAGCTTTGCCGGTGCGGACTCCAAAGACGTGGTCGGCGGCGGCAAGTGCAATTGGTTAGGACGGAGGTGAGAAATAGGACGGTGTTGGTCTGGACAAAGGTTCTGGTTAGGGTGTATTGATGTTCCAGAATGAGGGTCTAGACAGAGGTTCTGTTTAATGGTGTGTAGAGGTTCTGTAGGCAGAATGGTGTGTAAGGTTCTGAAAATGGTGTGTAAGGTTCTGAAGTTAACTCAAGTTCTTGGAGAAAGAACCCAGCCTGAATACTGAACTGAAATCAGCCTGAATAAAGAACTGAAATCTGAAAAACTAAACTGAAATGGAAGGCTCTGATACCATGTTGAAATATAAACTACAAAATATAATATTGAAGAGAGGAGGAAAGATTTTCTGTATATTTCATTAGTTATGTAAGTCCTTATAAATATACATTACAAATAGAATATTCCTATATAAGATTCTATACAATAATAATATCCTAAAGTATATTCCTAGAATATTCTGAAGTATATTCTAATATCCTAAAGTATAATCTATATACTTTCACAGTTGTAAATTGTACTTTATGTAAGGGATTTAACAATTTACTTTTCTATACATCTCGTTTCTCTTTATAACTTTATTCTTTGAGTTGAATATGATGCAAACACTAAAAAGGAAGAAAGTAATATCACTTTCAAATACATTAAGCGAATTATGCACTATAATACTATGTATGCGTCACATGTAAGTAATAGTACTGTAAATAATAGTGTAGTTCCTATTAATTTTAAGGGAATAGGGGATAAGGTCCAAATAAGCCGCCGCCAACAACAACAACATCCACGCCTTAATCCCAAAAGAATTTAGGGTTGACTAACATGAATTGATCTATGATATCGATGCCAAATAGAGAGACGGACAAGGAGGAGCAAAAAAAAGTAAGATAAAATGAATAAAATAAAGATAAATAAATATAAGATAACAATAACATAAGAATATAAGACAGACAAAAGACAGAAAGATAAAAGAGCATAAAAAAGCTAGATTATAAAAATAACTTCAGAATATAAAAAGATAAAGAAGATAAACGATAAAAGAAAATCAACTTAATGCATCTCCTATTATCAACTTAATGCTCATGATGCGATCATTCTTCCTAAAGACTTCAACCACACCCTCAACAAAATCATGTGCCACCCTAATACCTACTCTATTTATGTTCCTCTCTCCCCCGAATACCACAGTTTAAAACCTCCGGGATTAATCTCACATGCATTTTCTCCAACCCTCTTAGTTTCTTGCATGCACATTATGATGATATTCCTCCTCTTCATAACATCGGCTATATCAGATGATCTTCCCGTAAGAGAGTCAACATTCCATGTCCCAAAACTCAATCTAGCACCCTGCCTTCTCTTCTTCACACCACATCGACCCTCCGTCCCCACCATGCCCTTGCATATTTGACACCATCCCCAAGCATTGGAGTGGCGCGTCGCTTCCGGGTGACGACCTAGCAGCCTTAGCATTCCTATCACCACACCCAGGCCTATGAAGTGTAGCGCGCCCTTGCTCATTTGACACCACCCCGGGCGAAGGTCCAAATAAGCCATTTCACATTTTTTGAAATCCATCACCTGCACCCTTATAGTGAATCTTATTTTTAAGAGGCGTAATGCGCATCAAAGTGATATCGGTTTTGGTTTTCCCCAACCAATGCATGAGGCACAAAGCTGGGTGCACACTCCAAAGAACAAGGAACAATGTTTATCTAAAACACACATATATTACTTATACATGCTATTTTTACTCAAACACAATGTCATGTTTTGAATATTAAATAAAGAGATATGCTTCCTATTATAGCACTGATTGTGAGGAATTCAAATCAAATCCAATACAAAAATCTGAACATATAATAGTCACAAACTCAAAGCCTAAACAAGTACAAACTTCAAAGCAATGAGAGCATATGACCAATAATATTCTTAACTCATAATTGTTTATTAAATGATGAAATACTCATTTACACGGTCACTATACCGGAATCTACACCTCCGGTAATTGTTCCACATGTTACCGTTCCCAACCCCAGACCTCCAGTACACTTGGTTTACACCCGTCGACACAGAGCACCAGATCACCCTCCACCTGTGACACCTGTGATTACATATCCTGATATTGGTCCGCCCTCGATCTCATGTCTTGAACCAGTACCTGCTTCTTCAGATCTTGTCTCTACATCAGATCTTGACCTTCCGATAGCACTACGTAAAGGTACACGATCTTGTACTCATCCTATTTCTTCATTTGTGTCGTATAGCCAGTTATCCCCTGCCTCATGTTCTTTCATTGCTTCCATTGATTCTATTTCTGTTCCCAAATCTGTTAAAGAAGCTTTGTCTCATCCTGAATGGCGTCATGCCATGGTAGAGGAAATGAATGCTTTGGATCTTAATGGTACTTGGGATTTGGTAGACTTGCCTTCAGGGAAGAAGTCTATTGGATGTAAGTGGGTCTTTGCTGTTAAGGTTAACCCAGATGGATCTGTTGCTCGATTGAAAGCTCGATTGGTTGCGAAGGGTTATGCTCAAACCTATGGTGTTGACTATTCTGACACTTTTTCTCCTGTTGCTAAATTAACATCTGTCAGGTTACTTATTTCACTCGCTGCAACTCATGATTGGCATTTACATCAGTTGGACATTAAAAATGCGTTCTTGCATGGTGACTTTCAGGAGGAAGTTTATATTGAGCAACCTCCGGGATTTGTTGCTCAGGGGGAGTATGGGAAAGTTTGTCGACTTCGCAAATCTCTTTATGGTCTAAAACAGAGTCCTCGTGCATGGTTTGGGAAATTCAGTCAATCACTTGAACAATTTGGAATGGTAAAAGGTCAATCAGATCACTCTGTCTTTTACAGAAGAACAAAAGCAGGTATCACATTGCTTGTGGTGTATGTGGATGATATTGTGATTACAGGAAGTGATACTGCAGGTATTTTGGCTCTCAAGAATTTTCTTCATAGCCAATTCCAAACAAAAGACCTAGGCTCATTGAAATACTTTCTGGGTATTGAGGTAACACGGAGTCAGAAAGGTATATTTCTATCTCAGCGTAAATATGTACTTGATTTACTAGCTGAAACAGGGAAATTGGGAGCAAAGCCAAGCACAACTCCCATGGTTCCTAATGTGCAACTCACTCAAGAAGGCATGCCATTCGAAGATCCAGAAAGATACAGAAGATTGGTTGGAAAGCTTAATTATCTCGCAGTCACTCGTCCAGATATTGCTTACTCTGTGAGCGTAGTGAGTCAATATATGTCATCTTCGACCATTGATCATTGGGCTGCTGTAGAACATATATTATGTTACTTGAAGGGAGCACCAGGACGTGGGATTGTCTATCAAAATCATGATCACATGAGAATAGAATGTTTTGCAGATGCTGATTGGGCCGGATCTAAAGATGATCGAAGATCTACCTCAGGGTATTGTGTCTTTGTTGGAGGGAACCTAGTATCCTAGAAGAGTAAGAAACAGAGTGTGGTTTCTCGTTCGAGTGCCGAATCAGAATATCGAGCTATGGCACAATCTGCATGTGAGATCATATGGATAGGCCATTTATTGGGTGAAATCGGATTGAAGACACCGATGCCTGCTAAGTTGTGGTGTGATAATCAAGCTGCCATACACATTGCCAACAACCCAGTATTTCATGAAAGAACAAAGCATATCGAGGTTGATTGTCATTTTATTCGAGAGAAGATACAAAAAGGATTGATCTCTACGGGATATGTGAAGACTGGAGAACAACTTGGAGATTTGTTCACTAAAGCACTAAATGGGATCCGAGTTGGTTATTTATGTAACAAGTTGGGCATGATAAATATCTATGCTCCAACTTGAGGGGGAGTGTGAAAGTATATAGATTATACTTTAGGATATTAGAATATACTTCAGAATATTCTAGGAATATACTTTAGGATATTATTATTGTATAGAATCTTATATAGGAATATTCTATTTGTAATGTATATTTATAGGGACTTACATAACTAATGAAATATACAGAAAATCTTTCCTCCTCTCTTCAATATTATATTTTGTAGTTTATATTTCAACAACAACTATGACCTTCAAAGCCTTATTCTGCAGGTAATAGTCTTGGAAGCTTCTTGTTCAAACTCAATTGCTCTAATAATATAAGAGCATACAAATACTATTTGCACTCAGTCACTCACCAGGTGTGCAAATTGCACATACGTATGCAAATGAGCAGCATATTGGTTTCATGAGACAAAATATTGGAGAAGATCATAAACATTTTTGTAAACCTAAAGTCTCATGCCCAGAAAATTGACAATAGGTTGTGCGAGCACAATCACCGTTGTGGTAAGAGATTGCACTATCTCGTGGCTAGATAACAGAAGTCTGGAAAGAGTGCATGGACACCATTAAGTTTTGAGACGGATTTGAAGAACATGGATGTCATTCTTGATGGTTTTTTAGATCGTCCATGTAAACTCAGAGCCATCAAAGTAATATGCCTCCGGGTAAAAGATCTTGTTAATGGATTGAAGGCTTCCCTATTGTGTTTAGTGGCAGGCAGCCTAGTATTTAAAGGACAAAAGGCAAAATGAGGAGAAAAGAAAAGGCAATGTTTTTCAAGAAGAGAAAACGGCTTGTGCTTTAGAAAACAGCAAGTTTACGCAGAGATGGCGTACAAATGTCCCTTATATCGGTAGGGGTTCAACTATCACATCAGTACATAACTATTAAAACGGAAATGAAATAGCTAGTTCAATCCTGCCAAAACTAGTGCAATCGTACAATCATAAAAAGGAAATGAATTAAATACGATATACTACCAAAATAATTATGTGCCTCTTTCTGTGTTCATTCCCGTAATTCTGTGTGTGGCATAACATCTACAAGACATTATTCTGTACACCAAAATCCTCAAGATCTTATAAATTATTACACTTACAAATAAGGCAAGGAGTTGTATTTTAGGGTTTTTATTTCCAAGACGTTTCTTGATAACCTTGAGTGCATCCTTGGCTTGTCTGCATTTCAAAAGTAGAAGAAAAAGTTGTTGACAGTTTATCTTGGAATATACAAAGCCATAGATCACGCATTACAGGACCAATGAAAAGCCAGAAAACTTCAAAAGCTATGTTCACCAACATTTTATAATACCCAACAAATGACTTGAAGGTCAACGATATCAAAACCGAATGATTGGAACATCACATTCAAGTAAATGAAGTTACAAGATGCGGCAATTTTTGTTTGAAAAAATTCTGTCTAGCCTCGATTAATTCCCGCAGAGGTTAGAATGTCCTCAGACACCTCTGCCAATTTCCCAATCTGGCCCCACCAAACCCTGACTAGTTCCTGCATAGCACTAAACCCCATCCTCCAAGTGCCTAGCGATTTTTACAACATTGATGACAGCCATATATTTTTTGCCTAGTTTAAAAGAGACTTCACATATTAATGGAGCTAAGTTAACCCTTCAGGATTTCACAGACTACGTTGTGGTCTACTACATTTATAAAATACCTAGTTTCACAACTTAGTATAATGTTTTTGTCTCTTCTTTTCTAATGAGAGATTGTAGAAATGGATGCCGAGGGGGGTAACATCGAGAGTGCAAAAACAGAGCATCTGAACCACCCAAGAGCCATAAATGATCAATCAGAAGAGAGAAGGTCTAGGTTGATGTCCAGGAACATGAACAAGTTGACATGGTGGTGGAAACATAGTTCACCACCATGTCAGTAAGTAGGGTTTAAGTTTCAATGAGTCTCTGGTTATCAGGGTTATGGGATGGAGACTAAATTATAAGGATATGCTGAATAAAATTAAGCATAGGGTTAAAACCCCGACATTCACAAGGATAAAGAGTTTATCTCGGATGATGACAAAATGGAAAAGGCCAAGAGACTGATGATGAAGCAGACTGTCCTGCTATATGGCTCTAAAGGGAGGAGAGAGCTCTCCTTCTGTGGCAGCAGACCTTAATCATTAAAGCAGTGGAAGAGCAATTGGATATAATTAGCTTCTTAGGATAAAATAGATGATATGGCATCCCAAGCTCAACATGGAGTTTGTTTTTACAGAAAGTGACTGCTTCTTGGATAAATTGAAGGCTAGAAGATTGCAATTGGGATAAATTGAAGGCCTTGGATGGTAATGGATTACAGAAGCATTGAAGGTCAAAGTGCAAAAAGAAATTAGCTCAAATGAGGTCACCAATAGGAGGAACTTGAGAGAGCGGGTGTAGAAGGAAGAACATATGATTTCCATGGATTAGCAAGAAAGAAAAAATGACTATACCAGTAAAGAGGGGAAATCAAAATGAGTAATGGTAGACCTAAGATGACATAGTTTGGGGGTGTAAAAGAGACATTACGGCATTTGGAATTCATGAGCATATAATCCATTATAGAAACGAATTGAAATTAATATAGTGGTGGATCAGGGTTAGTGGGTGACCTCAAGTTATATTCTGATTGGTTAAAGATGTTGACCCAATGATTTGGGAGTAAAACTAGGTTGTTGTACTATGAGGGCAGTAACCCTGTATAATTTTCATATGCGCACACTTTTAGGATATTCAGGAAATATGGGAATTGTCTATAAAGCTGAAACTATAAAAGCAAAACATTCTAGAAATCCAAATGAAAATTTACACCTCTTAGGCCCTTAATGTGCATTTACCAACATGCACCGAATTTTGCCATCATGCAACGCAATGTGATAGGGAAAATAACATGCAATCACAAACAAATACTGTTCTCGAAGCAGAAAGGGATCTGAAATGACCCCGGGTTTATTGAGCAATTGTGCCCCTGCAAGAAAATTCTTCTAGTTCTCAATGACCAAAGAGAACTGTCATTTAAACAAAGAGAAAGAAGAATAAAATTATTTATGAAGGGAATGTACCTCACAACCCATTCCACAAAAGAAATTAATTGAGTTTGGGTTAGTGGATAAAATGATTATAGTAAACACATGTAGGAGGAAAACAACAGAGTATTAGAGAGTGCAATTTTCGACGCCATTTTCGCTATGGGTCATCCGGAAACAGTCTATTTGTGCTTTAGTACAAGGGTAAGGTTGCGTACATATGGGGGCCCTTGCCCCACCATATGTAGGAGCCTTTGCGGCACTGGGGTAATGATGATGATGATGATGATGATAAGTAATTATAAGAACTCAATGGGGAACCTTGGCGCAGCGGTTACGGTGTTGTTGTGTGACCGATAGGTAACGTGTTCAAGTCTTGGGAGTGGCCGCTTGTCAAAAATGACAAGGGAAGACTTACCCCTTATGGCCTTATACAACCTTGTGGTGGGAACCTTCCCCGGACCCTCACCTTGCGGGGACGCCAATGTGCATCGGGCTGCCCATTTTTATAAGTAATTATAAGAACTTCAAGAAGAATCGCACAAATATCACGTTTTATAAAAGGATGCAATTTGAAGGTAAAAATCTTAGAAGACAAATATTGAACGAACGGAACACAGCACCGGGTTTGGCCAAACTGGTGCCCCAGACATTCTGCCCGAAACCAGTGCTTGGTATCCTACGCATAAAGGTGCCAATTAGTTATAAAAACAGTAAGCTATTTTGCGGCAAGGTGGGTCTGTGGTGCCGGGTTGGTCAATAACAACAAAAAATAATTGATGCGCTTACGCAAATTTGATTAGAAATGAGACAATCAGGTGAAAATGTGAGTAACACCTATTGAAGATAAGATGCAAACGTATTGGTTGGGCTGGCTTGGTCATGTGTGAATGACTGAGTGATGCACTTTTACGACAGAATGAGAAGCGGGAGAAGAGGGAGGAGAAAATTGGATGAACTAGATAAGCATGGAGTAAAGTAATCAAGAATGATATGATACTACTTGGGCTAGATGAGAACGTTGGAGAGGATGAAGTGTTGGGAGGGCATAGGTATGGAGGATGGATCTTATATGGTTTCTCTCTCTCTTTCTATCTAATTTTTTTAACTATGTTGGAGAGGATGAAGTGTTAGGAAGGGCATAGGTATGAAGGATGGATCTTATATGGTTTCTCTCTCTCTCTTTCTATCTAATTTTTTTAACTTTGATATAAAATTTCACGACCCCAAACTCTTTTGGAGTAAGGTTTGGATGTTATTGTTGTTGTTTATTAAAGATCATGTATAGACTAAAGGAAATCAAAATTTACATGAAAAACATCATTTAATCCATCATTCATTTTATTACAACATTTCTTAACCATACTTAGTTTGCCATTTTAATTCATATGAAGCTGAGGATCTCATCATGGGTCATCCAAAAACAGTTTCTATGTGCTTTAGTACAAGAGTAAGGTTGTGTACATCCGACTTTCCCTTAACCCGCCATAAGTGAAAGCCTTTGCGGCATTAGGGTGATGTTGTTTTTATTATAAGAAGATAAAGGATCATATATTGTAACCATTGAAGATTGGGTATTATCATTTTTGTAATGGAGCCAAAGACTCGACATTTTTGGCTTGGGAATATGATGGAATAAAGCAAAATGGTCACTAAACTGTCTGCTTTTCTCTGTTATGAAGCACCAGTCAGTCGATGTTATTTTCGATGTGATTATCATCATGGGTCATCCGAAAACAGTCTTTTTGTGCTTTAGTACACGGGTAAAATTGCGTACATCTGACCCCCTTACCCAACTGTAGGTGAGAGCCTTTGCGGCACTGGGGTAATGTTGTTGTTGTATTGTATTTTGATCAGTGTGGGCATTAGAGGCTAAATCTTTCATCAGGATTCAAGATGTTTGATGAAAGCTAGGTGCATGTTAGGTGTTCGATATAAACCCTAAACCAATATATTATAACTTATCATCTATATTTTGATTGTTTATGACTATGGTGTAGAGCATAGAAGTATATTAAATTCACTTTATACTTGCAACTAATGTTGAATAAAAAGGACAGCCATACAAGAATTGAGGACAGAAATATACTTGATCTTGTACGTATGAAGGCTTAATCTTTGATGGGGTTTATCTAGACGAATGTGAGTCCTAACGGGCTCATACATAGGAAAATCACAACCACGCTATGTTAGCCAAAGTTGAGAATATAATAATGAATCTTAACTCATAAGAATTGGTAAAGAACTTCTCATGGACTCTAATATCGTGAAAGTGAAATTTCGGTGTATTAGTAGTTTATTCATATATTCATAAAGTTTAGCCCAAGAGAGATACTTGAAAGAAGTTATGATGTGGCTTCTAGGTTTTAAGGTATGGATGAATGGATGAACATGCATCTTCAGAAGCAAATATGGTGCTACCAAGGTTAAGTTTATGAAAACTTGCATTTTGAACTGCTTGAAGTTGAAATATTAATTCTGAATTCATTTACAAACTAAAACACACGATAGAGCAGAAAAAATGAAGAATACCCAGGGTTCGAGTTTATAATATCACAAAGCTCAATGTTAATTGCCCAGTCAGGGCCGATCAGCATGTCACTCGTCGCCCTCTCAGCACAATCCACTGCACCGTTCGCCATCTCTCAAATCTTCAGCCGTTTCCAAGCCTTTGATCTCCCTAGTAAGACACCAATTCATTCAAACTAACCAAATTATTAAATTCACTGATAGAAGAGTGCAAAGAAAGACACGAGCAACAGAGCTTCTTGTCTAAAATCCACCAGAACAAAATCGAAAGAACCACAACCAATAAAACCGTCCAAATCATGCTCTTGCTCACAACGAAAATTTTATTGCACAGGAGCTTAGACATTCATTACCTCTGCGAAATGGCACTATCAATTTGTCTAAGAAAATGTAGAAGAAATGGTTTTTCTACCTCAAGAAATGTGAGGTGTGAACCGTAGTTTCCACTTTCAAGTGTTGTATGTCAAAACTGAAAAGAGAGAGTTTGGTATTACTCCTTACAAAAAATGGCCAAAGGGCACACAAATAGGGCTATGTGTTTTAAATCTCTCCGATATGACTATTTTTATGTGTGTTTTCACATAGCTTTTGAAATGTTTTATTTAATAAAAAATTCGTAAAAAATTAATAGACAAAAACATTAATAAAATAAAGATAATAAAATAATAATAAAATATTTATAAAAAAAATTTTAAAAATAAATAAATAAATATTAAAAAAACATAAAGAAAAAACAACTCCACCTCTGCCACCCTCAGCACCACCATTTCTCATCACCAAAGGAAATCTGCCAACATTTTTAATAAAGGCAGATTCAATGAAAATTTTGGCATTATGAAGAATAATAATGTCATTTTCTTGATATTTTTAGAAAAAACGGCATTTTTTACACAAAATGACATAAATTTCACTGATCTGAGTTGGTGGTGCTGGGAGGCGGTGGGAAAGGTATCCATATTTTTTTGAATTTTATTATTTTTATTACTTTAATAAAAATTAATATTTTTCGATTTTTTACGACTTTATTATGAATTGAAATGTTTCAATATTAATTAATGCCCTTAGGAGCATTTAGGGTAAAAATCAAGAAATCAATGTTTATTCCTATTGTGGGGAATTTAAAAAGTAGTAATCATGTAATTCATGTTTGTGCTTTTTGGGGAAACTTTAGTCCAACCTAAGACAATTTCTACCGTGGACAATTTCAAAGAGGGTTTGTGTATATATTAAAGATGAACACACAATTTACATGTGAAAGAATGATTAGAAATTTAGAATGTAGGGCTTTGCATCCACAAAAATAAGACTAAAATAGTCTTACTTACAAAACCCTGGTTTTAGGGCAAGAAAAGGTCCACACTGTTCTCGATCGATTCTTCCGTTGCAAATACCCTTGTGACCTCCGACCTTCCGCCTCCACCATGCCATGCCACCATCGCCTCTCACCATTGTCTTTGCCGCCATCTCCTCTGTCGTCGATGTCACCTCCCTTGTCGTCAGTTCGCCACCGCCACCTCTCACTATTATTAGCATCGCCCCCTCATTTCTTTGATTTCCCTTTTATTCGTCGTCATCCTCACCGTCAAGTCAAGGCCACCATTGCCATTGTCGTCATCCAGGTGCCTCATATATGCTTCGTTTTACTCTTCTTCTCATTTCTTCTTTGTGGCAATCAATTGTTGATTTCGTCTGATTTGTGATAGCGAGAGGCGAATGACGGTTCTGGTAGACGGCAAAGAAGGTTTGTTGGATACGTGGCAAGCGGTGGTGGCGATAGCGAGATGACATCGGTGGACCATTTCATGGAAACTAGCTAGAGTTCACAGATCTAGGGGGTGTCGACTACACTATGGTTTCTATAGGCGGGAAAGAAGGTGCAGCGGCATCTAGGGTTTCAAAATGGGGTGCGGCGACATCTAGAGTTCAGATTGGGGGTCGACGACGGATTGTTCAGGGCTGGTCAGGGCGGCGATTGTGTGGCGGGGCATGGGGGGTCGCTGTTGGGTGCAACTACTTCACTGTTGCTGCTAGTGGTTGTCTGGTTGGGGCAGGTGGAGGGGCTGGATAGAGGTTGGGTTGGTGGGGGATAGGGAGAGTCGGGGTGCGGCAGAAGTTGCCGAAAGGGTGGGGGGCGGAGGCCATTGTGGTCGAACGACGGTGGCTGCAATAATTGGAAGAAGCGGAGGTCAGTGGGTGAGGTGTGGTTGGGGTTACTATCGCGGTGTCACTGAAGCCTAGACATTGTATCACTATGACCGGTGTCACTGTGGTCGGTGTAACTGTGGTTGGCGGCGGTCTTCGATCGACGGCGGTCAACGGTCGGGAGGTGGTGGTGATGGATGTCACTGGGTCTGTGTCACTGTAGTCAGTGCCGTATCCAGAAAATTTGTTCAATGGTGGCAAGTTTACACTAAAATTATCACAAAAATTTTAGGAAATAAATATTAGTTAAAAAATTGATAGTTTATTAAAAATAAAGACTATTTTTTATAAGAAACTGATAAATTATGTAATGATAAGTTTATAACAAATTTAAGTTACAAATAGACAAGTGTGTTTTAATATTAAGTGAGATGCGATTGAAATTACATACCATTTATTAGTTACATTAAAATAAATTATTTTAAACTAATTTCGATCTTAGGTTTAGACATTCTATACTCTATTAAATACAAAATCAAAAATATACAAAAAAAATGGATGAAATATGCAATTATAAGTGATTTCAGTTACAAATAAATATTTTTTAATATTAACTTTGAAAAGATGTTAATGAAATTGCATATCACTTATTAGCTGCAATAAAAAAATTAAATCTTTTCCATCGTTTGTTCTCTTTTTTATTTTTGTTTTTTTATTTTAGTTTTTTTTCCTTTCTTTTCTTTATTATTTGTTCTCCTTTCTTTTTGTTTTAATCTTTAGCAACCTTTTACATTAATTTTATATTCAATTAATATAAACATTTATAATATAAAAAATTATACAAAATATTATTAATGTTCCAGTTTATTTTTTATCCAATCAAACTTCTAACTTTAGTTTCTTTAATTTATGTTTATAAAATATTTTAGGTATTAATGTTTCATTTTTCTATTTTTAATTTAAGATGAATATTTATTAGTTTATTAAATGTTGTGTATTAATTACTAACATGAGTTTTGTGTTATAATAAAATGTGTGTACTGTAAAATAAATATGCATGAGCAAACATTATAAAATGAATTCGATTATATATGTAATTCGCGAACTAAAGATTATCAATTATTTTTAATATAAATTATTATATTTGTCATTACTATAGTTGTCATTATATGTGCACAAATGAACACTTGAACACATTAGAGAATTCAAGCGAGCTTTTGAATTTTTTTATGCTCATTTTGTAACTTATGTATGTTCATTTAATTTGGTAGTGATTTTATGCTCATTTCAAAATGTCACATTAATGCATATTTTAGAAGTATCATATTAGATTCGCATTAGAGTTAGATTATATACGTGGGAGCAAAGATCATGATACTCAATTGTATTCTTTTGATACTCAATAGAGGAGGTTTGATGTTCAATGAAAATGTCTTGATGTATGCTCAACTAACAAAGTTTGTGATTTTTATATCATTGTTCATTTGGTAAGTTATATACGCTCATTTAGTACTAATGTTATGCTCATTTCAAAAGTACCATATCTTTTAATACACTTTTAATGCTCATTTTGTAAGTTGCGTGTGCTCAATGGGTACTCATGTTATGCACCTTTTAAAAAAGTCATATCAATGCATATTCCAAAAGTACAAAATTACATTAGATTCGCATATTGAAGTTCATAGAAAATGATTATAGATATAATTTAATAATTTTTTATAAAAGAAAAAATAAGAAAAAGAAATTAAATTATAAAATATGAAGCAAAGATCGTGATACTCATTGTTAGACTTCTAATGCTCAATAGAATATAATTCATGCTCAGTAAACCTGTCATAGCGTTTTAATATGAATACCATTGCATTTTAAAAGAAAGTGAATTACAATATATGAAGTTGATATCACAATACTCATTATTCGACTTTTAATGCTCGGTAGAATACGTCTGATGCTCATTAAGAGTGTGTTAATGCTCATCTAACGAAAACCGAGATTTTCAATAAAATTACGAAAATGCCACCGTTTTTTAGTTGTGATATCTGATTTCTTGTAATAACACGGTGCTCATTATTAGACACTTAATACTCATTAAAATTAAAATATTGCTCATTAACAGTACGCAAATGCTCATTTAACAGAAAGCGTGATTTTCACATTAATTACAAAAATGTCACCGAATTATTTTGCTATTTTTCCCTTGGGCCTATTACTGGGCCGACTGTACAGTGCTCACCGTACAGCCGGATGTACCATATACGTAGTCATGGACATGCACTACTTTTGCCGGTGGGCTACGACACTCTTCTAGTAAACTTAGGATTTTAAAGATTATGATACTATAAATATGATAATGATATATGTATAAAATTTAATGTATACAATGAGGTTGGGTGGGGTTGAGTATGGGCAGCTGCCTTCCTGCCCCAATAGTAAATACACCCCTGACCGTAGTATGTCATGTCACTGAGGTAAACTAGTAAGTTTACTACTTATTAGTCACATTTTCTGAAAATTCAAGAAAAATGTCACCTTTTGTCCATTGTCCACTTCTTTGTAACATTCAGGTCAAAACTCCCATTGTCCACTTCTTTGTAACATTCAGGTCAAAACTCCATTACATGCCCCATTTTGTTTTTGTATGTACACAATGTTATTGTTTCCCGTCTTTCAAAGTGAATTATATGTCAATTTGTCTGTGACATAGGTGATTCACCTTATAAATTGAAAAAAAAATGTTTGTGCACAACACGAACAACCATGTACATTGGCGTAAACACTTTAGGAAAGATTTTTTCATGTGATTTCCTCAACTCTTTTAAAACTTAAATCTAAAGAATAGTATATTAGAAATAGTAAAAATTGTAAAACTAGCATATCTGGATAGAAAATAGGATTAGTGTTATGAAATGGGGGGGGGGGAAGAAGTTAAGGGCAGAAATTATATTTATAAGAGCATCTTCAATACTGTCATATTTGCAAAAGTTGTATAAAATCATTCAAATAAGGAAAGAAATAATTTATTTGCTAATATTTATGTGGCTACGTGTCATGTTACATTTTCACCTTGCACAGTGTAGCATTGTAGATACTCTAAGGATGTTTTTACTTGGACTATAATTTGTTGGTCTGGTTTGATCTGGTCTGATTTCTTTGTATTTTTATAACTATCCACGTATGGTCTGGTCTGGGACAACGGAGTTATTCTTGAAATGGTGATATTAAGTACGACCGGTTCCAAAAATTTGGGAATGGCGGCGCAAGGGGTTTGGGGTCTGCTATTCCCGATATGAGATCCGGCGGCGGGGTTCGCTAGTCGTCCCGGGCAAGGTTCTTCTTCATTCTCCGGCTCGGACACAACCCATAGATGGCACCACACC